TTACATAAAGATATGAAGATTTTTATGCTCCATCTTTCTAACATATTGAATGTGGAACCTAAGGGAATAGTAGATTAACAATCTTATCCAATGGTATTCTTTATATAATTAAAAATAATAAATTCTTACATCGACAGTTTCATCATCAAAAACAAGCCAAGAATCATCTCGTTTAACAACAGCTATATAATGACCACGATTTGGTCCTATACCACAATGAACAACCAATGAAACAAGATCATATATACGATCACTATTTGTACAATCTTCAGACTAGAAAAAAGTGAACAAAATTTTCATTTAAAGAAAAAAGAAAAAATTTTAATTATCTAACCGTATTAAGAAGTCGAAGTTCAAATGGAAAAACAACACGATAGGATAATTTTTTATATTGTTTAAATACTTCAAAATATTTAAAACGTTTTAAATGAAGTGCTAATATACGTGGTAATTTTTTAATACGCATTCTTTAAATAGAAATATAGAATATATATATTTTTTTGTTTTCTAATTAATTTAACCTTTTTGTTGCTTCTTGTTTACTTCTACATGTTTCACAATAATATTTCGATTCACCAGATAATGTTTCAATATTACTAAATACTCGTAAACAAGTTGTTATGGATGTATTTTCTTCAACATCAATTGATAGATCAAGAAAATTTTCATCTTTACTATTTACCTAAAATAAATAAAAACTTTTCGAGTGAAAAACAATTAGAAAGTTCAAATTTATTGGAAAAAGCCGAAATCATTAAAATTGTATGAGACAAAAAAATCAACAAAAACATGAGCATCTTCGATTTGGCATTGATTTTTTTTTTATAAGGTTTATTTTCTTTTCTAAGCAAGTTCTTTTTTTACCATAAATATATGTTCAAATATTGACTGTTTCAATTTACACCTAATTAAACTTAATTAATTAACCAAAATATAATTAGCAAATAAATCTCTAACATTATAACGTAAAAATTCAAAAATTTCAGATGAAATTTTCAGCAAGAGCGAGATATCAAGATTTTATAGTTGGACGATACGGAATGTTCTCTAAAACATCCAACACAGTAGTTTTCAGGTCATCAAGTTTTTTGCGACCTTCACTAACAATGTTCCTAGCACTGCAAAAAAAACTCATTCTTCAGTAATTTAAATAAATTTTTCTTCTTTTCGTGTTTTATGATGCATGTAGCGTTATTATTGAAGGTCACAGAGATCATGTCGACCGCTTATATTGTTCTGAACTTGGTGCTCTTTCAAATGTTATTGTTGAAAACCTAAATTTGACAATATCTTTTGTGATATAAAAGTCATCGTACTAGGCTTTCTAGAAAACTTTCACGCATTTGATCATATAGTTTTTATTTCGATTTTTTCCGTCATAGTAACTGGGATAAAATGTATTCAAATAATGATTAGGATAGAGAAATTTATTTTCAGCAAAGATTTCAGAAAAATGAATATTTAGAGTCTCTAGAGAATCGAAAATCTAGTTCTTCAGCACTTAGCACTTCAAAAATAAAACTTTCTTTTGATTACACAGAGTGAAAGAGCAACTAATTCTCCACAAAATGATACGCCTCTGAGCTCTGTACGACAGTTTTTGACGGAACGACATTAATTTTGATAAAAGCATAAAAGCAGGGTTTTTTTTTGTCATTTTCTATGAGAAAAAGGAACAAAAGAACTTCTGTACTATTCTTAAAATTGATGTGGTTCCGACAAAAAAAGAATGCTCCAAAGAGCTTCGAGACATGTCATTTTGTAAAGAATTACTTGATCATTCCATGCAATCAAAAGAAATTTTTATTTTCGAATCTGAATTTCAGGAATACTCTGTAGATTTTATTTCTCTCAAATCCTTATTTGAAACAATTTTCTTTACTCAAGTCACAAGTTTGATTATTTATGCGAGTTACTATTACGGAAAAAAATAATTGAAATTAATCCTGTATAACCAACTTTGAAAGCTACTGTTCAATAAGCAATCTATATTTTCTCCTACTAGAAAAAAGGAAATAATTTACTTATTTAAAATATCTTTATGTGTCCATCATGGTGATAACACCTCAGTTGAGTTTGATATTAAGGAAACAATTGTAATTTTATTTGAATAAGTACACATTCACGTCAAAAATTGAATAGAGCTCTTGCTCATTTAAGATATAAGTCTCTTTCCATGTCGCATATTTGTTCCCATTACGGCCGGTAACACTTACGGTTTTCGGTTTCAGCTATAAACGATTGTAGTGTTGTAGTGTTTTAGGGCTGACTAAGACTCTACAACCAGCACAGACAACTTAGATGCATCAACATTATCCGAGTGCACTGAAAACGACTCAATTTTTTTTACAAATTTCAAAAATATTCATCTAGTTTGATACAATATGCTATGATGCGATACTTTCAACAAGAAAAGCGGAGATATAGATAATTTCTATTTTAAGAAAATGAATATTTTATTAAATACCGTTTCACAGTTAAGACACTTGGTCGTTGATACAAGCGTTCCTTGAAAAAGTTCATGTATCCAAGTTTCTTCTGCCAATGAATTATGAGCAGCAGTTATATCATTATTTATATTGAAATTAATTGATGCTATTATTCGATTATATTGTTCATCATTATTATTAGTTTGTAGATAATTATTGTTAATAGTAATATTATTTGATTTACTACGTTGTTTATCATGTTTATCTTTTTCTTCTTTCTTTTCAGCTAAAATAAAATAAATACTTAATAAATATTTAAAAAGCAATATGTTATTTTTTATACCAAGAAGAATATCACCACAAGTATTCAGTAAATGATTAAGAAATTCATGTGCATCTTGTTGCATATCATTGTCAAATGTGCCTAAGAAACAAAAACAAAAAAATAATCATTTAAATTTTTTTGACCTTCGAAAGAATAAATTACTATTTTCTTTTCGTAATTTATTGATAAATTTTTTTGGTTGTAATGCACCAGTTCGTTTTTTACCATTTATAATCATATGAAATAAATCAGCAAGACATGTTAATAAATTATCTTTTTTATTCTTTTGTGTTGAACGATAATTTAAAACACGTTCACGAAATGGTTTACAAAAATAAAGAGCTTGAAGCACCGAATTACAATAGCACGTATTACCAAACTAAAAGAAAATGAATACAAAATAGCATTTTTGAAATATTACTGAACAAATTCATATTTTTAAAACTAACAGATTACATTTTTCGTACTTATATTGAAGATAATAATTTATTTGGTATCATTGAAGTTATACTAGAAACTAACAACTATGCAAACGGCTACCATGGTCAATTCAATTATTAATTATTAAACACATCCAAATTTCTAGGTTTGAATAAGAGTTAAAGATGGTTCGAGTTGAAAAAGAAGAAACTCAACAACATTCGACATATCATAAAAGCACTTCATCAGTAGCAAATGAAAATATTTTGTTTCCAGTAAACCAATAATTGTTTTATTGATATATTTAAGATGTTTGATACAACTGGCAAGAATAGTCGTGATTATGAACCTACGAAAACAATTCGATATTCAATTATGTTGCATTCTACTCGCGACTCTGCTTTGTGGACACTTTTCCTTAATTGACTAAAACACAATGTTCGTAATCAGGACGTGGCCATTTTTCCATATCGTTCATATTTAATTCATTTGTGCAACATGTATTTTTTTGTCGTTATTCAATATATTTTAGATCAAAAGATTAAGACTGATTAGATCGTCAATGTACTCATATTGCACATTTGTTCATACTATCGCCAGCGTACAGTCGATCGAAGAAGAACTAACGGTACAACGCCATGGAATGGAGACTAGTAGAGAGTTGACCACTTCAGTATCAAACGACTGCTGGCATAGTACATATTGTATCCAACAGTGAATTTAATTCCTTATTCTTTTTAGAACTCATTTGCTCTATTTAGTGTGATTTTGCGTTGTTCATAACTAGAGTCCGTCGGGTTCTACCCGGACCCGGTCGAATCTGGGCCGGGTCCGGGTCTGAAGATTTTTATTGGTGAGTTCCGGATTGAAAAAAATTAGATTCAGATTAGAAATTTTTTTTGAAATTTGTTTAAATTCTTGTTCATCTTACTCCAAAAATATTGAATTTATTTTGAAAAAATAGAGAAAAACAATAAAGTTCTTCCTGACTATAATATGTAAACATAGTTGCAATCATAAATCTATAAATCAGACCAAATATTATCTGGTTCTTCACTATTGTCTATATTTTCAATAATATTCAAACAATAATCATGATCATCACTTGTTTTATACGCATTGTTTCTTCCATCAGAAGATATTGACGTGAGATGAGAAGCAATTGTAATTTTATTCCTACAGCTGCGGTATCTGACTGTTTGAACAAAATGTAGACAATGCTATTCATGGAACAAGAAAAAACAAATCAAACGTATCACATATTCTCGAGCTACAATCAGATTTATATTAGAAAATTGAACACAGTTTTACGAGTTCGGTTCAAATCCGAACCCATAAAAAATTGACCCCTGAGCTTTAAGTTCAAAAAATTCTCTAGCGGGTCCGAGTCGGGTACTGGTCCAAAAAATTTTTATTAGTCGGGTTTGGGTCCAAAAATTTTTGGATCCGATGACCTCTATTCATAACAGATGTAAGACATACACAACATACTCTTGATAATAATACATGACTTCTTTTGATTTCTCGTTAATTGGAATGTGAATTTTGTTCTTTAATACATACATTTACAAGACCAAGATAATGTTCATTTGAATTTGAGTCAGCGATTGTATAACCGGTTGTATCAGATGAAACGCCATGACCCTAAATAAAAATTTTACTTAAAAACTTGATCAAAAAAAGAACAACAATCAAATATTACCATTTTAAAGCAAAACATTTGATGTATCAAAAACACTCGCTTTTTCGTGACATATATAATCTGAAAAAAATAAAAATAACAAAAAACTTTCACCATAAAAGTAAAACAAGAAAAAATATTAATATTAAATAATCATAGTTTGACTAGAATATTTTAATATAGAACGAAGAGACTTTAATCGATGACCATGTAATGTAAATTTTCTCCAAAGAATTATTTGACATAATGAACATATAATTGGTATCATAATAACATTATTAAATAGAGCTTGTTGTTGATTATTAAATGAATAAAATAATCGTGAACTTATTATTGGTGCTAATGTTTGACCAGGTTTAGATAAAAATGTCATTGTACCAAAGATTAATGCTGGTAATGGAGAAGTTCTCTTATATATAAATTGATCTTCATCAATTAAATCTGTTATAATTAAATCGCATAATTTACATATACCTTCTGTAAACATTCGATTACTAAAATAAAATGTAAATATTTCTTTATTTTTTGTTGTATTATTTAATTACTACCTAACAAGAAAAAGACAAAGTAACAAAGTAGAATTATTTCCTTGAATAAATAAATATAAACTAAAGAATAATTTAATATAAAATAAATTACGAATAACATAATAAGTGCCTTGTGATTTACATAAATAAACAAAATAAATATTGCTAAGATGTGGAATAAGAAATGAAATGCCTGAAAATTAAAAATAAAATATTAAGAGAGAAAAATTTGACTTTTACCAAGAAGAATTGAGGCGAATGAAGATGACGGAATAAATATGCTGAGAATTAATGGAATTGAATTACTATTAAAATGACAATGAAATACCTAAAAGAAAGTTCATTTTGATTATTTCAAGTTATTAAAATTTTTTCATGCATGAAAATATTAAGAAATAAATTTCTGTTTTCTTTTTTCAACAAGCGATAGATATCATAAACTCTGTACAAATCAAGAGCTTAGTTTTTTGTAGGTCAATGCGTGCTTTTTTCTCATCATTGCACCCATAAACATCAAAACGAAGAAGTCAGATGCGTGGTATTTTGCTCGAAGAAACAATTCATTAATTAGACTAAAAATGTATTATCTATTTTCTTTGTTGCGCAACGTAACAAATATGAATAAAATCCAATAACTATCTGAATACTTGCTTTTTTTTTAATCTTATTTGTAATATGAACCTCGAGATTAGACATATGATGATTCTACGAGAAATATCATCTCTTACTCAAAATGCTAGTCTTCGGCTAAATAAATTAAAAAGCAAGCATTAAAGAATTGTTTAGATGTGATACGAATAAATTCTGGAATAGTTTTTTCTAGGTCGGAACTCAAAAAACAACTTGGTCTCGCTTATCTCTGCTATCGAGAATGTTTAAAATCAAAATTAATTTTGTAGCATTATGTGTTGATTTATTATGCCTATAAATTTAGTAAAATCAAGCAACATATTGTTTTTGTTAACAATAAAAACATCTCCATTAGGTTCTATATTTTAATTACACATGAACTCCATGAATAAAAAAATTTATTCATACATACTTGAATTAGATTCACTAAACTGAAGATTATACAATTCTTATGTTTATGAATACTATATACAAATTGCCAAAGATTTGGAATACGTTCTTGAAAAATATTTCTTTCAATAGATCTAAATAAAAAATATGATAAACAATGCAAAAAGACAAATACTATAATCTGACTTAATATTATAATAATATAAAACTCGTTTCATCGATTGAGTGACAAAAACAAATCCAAACATAATTATTATCGTTAAAATCGTTAGAAATATTCGAAATAATCGAAGATCTGATGAATTCCAAATAAGATAGGAAATTAATAACGGTAGTGAACCTTAAACAAGAATGAAGCATTCTTAAACAAACAAACAAAACATTCTCTATTTACCAAGAGCATTTCCAATTGCACTTGCTGAACTTAATGTTTCTCGTTTATGAACAGAAATATCAATTAATAATGAATTATAATTTAAATCAATCATTGTTAAAAATGTATCATAAAGACATAAACTTAAAAGTAATTGTAAACCAAGTAATGATGAATTTATTTCAACAAATGGATACCAAAAACAAAGTGATGATAAACAAAATAAAGGACCACATAATGTTAAATAATTAAGACGATGAGCAACAGATGACGTATATCGATCAGATAGCC